TGCAGGACCTGAAGGATGACAAGGGCCGAGAGCCCGGACTGTTTGCAGCGTCTTGGGGTTTCCACGACTCCTGCTAATGTAGGGGCTTAAATAACTACCTAAATTATTTTGGTATGATTGTAGCATAATAATGGGCACCAAAACCCTATTCCAATTACTAAGGCCCTATATTATAGAACATAGGGCATATAGAGGCCTTGCTAATCAGAAGAGGGCTTTGGGGCATATTATGCTGCTACAAGCGTTGCGTATAAGAACAGGGCTCCTGAAGGCCTTAAGGAGCAGTTGCGAAGATGGTTCATTTGCAGTCTGAGGTTTGTTGGTGTTGCCACTCGCTTGAGCTCTTAGTCTGGTGTTTTTTTCGTAATTCCTCTTGCTTCTTTATCCTTGCTGTTGCTGCTGATTACGAAGATGTTTACTTCAGGTCTTGTAAAGGGAAGAGCCAAAGAAGACCACCTGCAGTACGGTGGATAGCATCGCCCTTTCAAGGAAGCCCATCCCTTTAAACGGTGGTGGGGTGTCTGACATAACAAGTTCCCCGGAACTTGCAAAGCCTTGCGAAAGGCCGCAGCGCCTGAAGCTCTAAGGACCCATGAGTTTCAGGTAGAAGGCTCCGGTAATATTCCATAGGGTCTCATGTTTTAGTCGGATACTCTTGGATTATACCATGATACCCGTTTTACCACAGTCTGTTGATGTAGAGGGGCTCTATAGAAGAGCCATGGAGCTGATCTTGCTAAGCACCTTGCCCCTGAAACCTAAGCCCCAAAACCCTAAACCCTAAACCCTAAACCTAAGCCCCAAAACCCTAAACTCTTAAAAAGGACCTAAGCTTAAAGCCTGAGCCCTGGCCGAGGTCAGGATGCTGGGAATCACTGGTGGCTGGCGCCGATCCCTCAGAAGTTGAGGGTTCAAGGTTTCGGATTTTTTGTTTTCTAAACCCTAAACCCCTTGGAGTGTAAGGTTTGGGTTTTGCAGGGAGTTGCCAGAGACTGGTTCGAGGAGTTATCACCTTGTTCAGATGGCATTGTGATAGCCTTGCTCATAGTACCAGCTGCTGACAGCGACCGAGATGAAAGACACTGCAATCCTGCTTGGTGCTAATACAATGACTTTTCTCTTTGCTGGAAGGCTGGTGCTCAACCCGGGTGGTGGAGCACAAAAGGAGTCGACTTCCGCCGGCTGCTGAGCCAAGGAAGTTGCAGAGTTGGCGAGCGCTTTCGTTAAAGGGTAGTCAGCACAAGACCAGCCCATGACCAACGTCCTTCGATTTCCTGTCCACTTCGCCCACCAAGTTAGCCATCAAATCTTTTCATATTGGACTGCAGGTCTTGAGTAGACGCATGAGGTGGGGGCGGTTCTACGACGCAGCCTTAAAGCACCCACACCACCGAATCATATATTGCCCAATCATATTGCGAGGAGCTATCCTCGGTCACCGGAAGAGAGTGTGCAACACTTGCGTACGACTGGATCAAGGTGTCAGGGCTGACAGGTTACCGCCTTAATCGAAATCGGAGGCGAACGCTACATCTAGATGAGGGGGGGTGAGCGGAAGAGCCATTTCTCCTCACATAGCAAGGAGTGCAAGTTCAAGATGACTTCTTCAAGAATCAGAGCCTGTCCTTTTCGGAATCGGCACTAAAGCTCCAAGCCCCACTGTATCCCTGAATGTGCCGCTTTCATTGAGCCTACGAGTCAAGCACAGGCTTGCTTAGAGAACCAAATCAGCAACAGCGCGAACTGTTTTGGGAATAGGTTGGTGTGACGGTTTTCGGGTAGAGTTTTGGAGTTGAATTGCCGGTTGCGGGAAGTGCATGCAAAAGGTTCAGCATTGCTTCCGATGCCTGCAAGGTGATGTGCCTCGATTCGATGCAGAGGTGGGTCAAACCCCCAAAGGATTGATCCGCCGTTAGTTTTTCGAAAATGCCAGGGCACCGGATGAGTTAACCGACTTGATTTCTCTCGAAGCCCCTATGTTAGAACCCTAAAACAATCCGATAAGAAGCCTTGCAAAACACGTTTACAAAAGCCCTTCTTATTGGTTGCTAGCCCGTGAAAGCATAGTCATGCCTCTTGTAGAAGGCAGATCATCCGACAGAGCCTCTGTCCCTTCACCCTAAACCCCAAACCCTAACTCAACCCGAAGACCCCAAAATCCCAAACCCAAACGTCAGTGCTAAACTCAGTACTGGCACCTACGCTCTTGACGACATAGGAGTACAACCACAAGTGTCATCGTGTATTCAAGGTATATAGCGAGGCTAAGGGGGCAGTGCTACTGATAGGTGTATGAGGTGGAGTGTCATGATAGTAGAATAGGGTCTTGAATTACTGATGATACTATTCGCCAAGGGTTCCGCTCCGTCATGCATATAAACTATCATAGTATAAAGTGTCCTCCAAACCTTACTCTTAAAACCTTTCTTTTATTGTTGAGGATCCTGAACTATATAGTTGGTCAAGTATCATAGTATCAAGTACCCTCCACACCACACTCTTATTATTGAGGATCCTATTTTAGTTGGTAAAGAATCATAGTACCCAGTACCCTTTCAACCCTACTCTCTTTTTTATTGAAGTCCCTACGCTGGTTGGATTCGGTTCTTGAGTCTAGTCAGGTTGCAAGCTTTCCTGCCACCACCTTGCAGACGTGTCACGACCGTACGTTTAGGGGAAATGTGCCGTGGAGCAGCCGTCTGCACTCACAGGAGTGGATCAGAGCCGGGCTTGGGATGGTTTGGGGGGTATACTTGGAGGATCATGGGACTTAGTAAGTAAGGTTATAAGTCGCCTAATTGGGGTTATAAGTATAGTTACCTTAGTTATAACCCTACTTACTAAGTCCCATGATCCTTTAAGTATTATGTATGCTGTCTGGCAGAGAACTATGAGGAATAGGATCAGTAATGAAAAATGGTCGAGTTGGGCATCTATGTGCCAGGCGAGAGAAGATTTTAGATCCGCCGCTGACAGGGAGACCCTCGGCAGAAACTTTTGACTGGGGTCTGGACTTGAGATTCGGCCTGGTTTGGAGAGGGCACCCTACTCTTATCATTGAGGATCCTGTATTGGTTGTTAAAGTATCATACTATCAAGTACCCTCCATACGATACTTTCATTTCAGATCTCGTTTCATGCTCAGTCTTGAGGCGATATAAAGTAGAGCTGTACGCTTAGCAGATGCTCGGACGCAGCTTTTGGAGAATCGGCAGTGTACGGTGCTTTGGTGGCATGTTGGATTCTTCCAACTGCAGCCAAACGAAAGTCCCATAGCAGCTCCTTCAAAATGCATGGCATCCGATGTGTTGGGATCGGCGCAGCACCTCTCACATTCATGCTGATCTTCATTGCAAGCGGGAGCCAGCTACATCGATCCTTTAGTCCGAGGTTGTCATACATGCCCCTTCCTGAAGTTTCTCGCTTCGAATGGGCGGACTTTTCATAGCTTGTCTCCAAAACAGGGCATGCAGCAGTTGTCCAGTCAGCTTGAAGATTGCTGCGGGTGCCTAACTACTACAGCTGCTGCTGCTGCT